CTTCCCTTTTCCTTTCTTCCTTCCTTTTCTCCTTCCTCTCTCCCTTCTCTTTTGCCTTCCTTCCTTCCTTCCTTTCTCAATCCCTCCCTCCCTTCCTCCCTTCCTCTCCCTTTTCCTTTCTTCCTTCCCTTCCCTCCTTCCTTCCTTTTCTCCTTCCTCTCTCCCTTCCCTTTTCCTTTCTTCCTTCCCTTCCCTCCTTCCTGTACTCCTTCCTCTCTCCCTTCCCTTTTCCTTTCTTCCTTTCTTCCTTCCTTTTCTCCTTCCTCTCTCCCTTCTCTTTTGCCTGCCTGCCTTCCTTCCTTCCTTCCTTCCTTCCTTCCTTCCTCAATCTCTCCCTCTCTCTCCCTTTCTTCCTTCCCTTCCTTCATTTTTCTCCTCCTTCCTCTCTCCCTTCCCTTTTGCCTTCCTTCCTTCCTTTCCTTTCCCTCCTCCCTTCCTCCCTCTCTCTCGTTTCCCTTTCCTTTTCTTTTCTTATTTCTTTCAGTTGTCTTTTCTTCATGCCAAATTCAGATGAAGCCTCCTCAAACGACCTTCTTGTGGTTCATTAGATCTATTCTAACAGAGTGCACGTTCGGTTTACATTTGTAGGAGAACAAAAATCAGATTATTAGTTTTTTTAATGCTGCCTTTTGCACCTCTGTTTTATTTTTTATTTTATTCTTTGCTTTGCCTTTTGGGCCCCAGCGCTCTTATTGTGATGCTTTCGTTTTAAAGCCCTTTTCTCTCCGGATATGTTTTGCCGTAGATCACTGGGTGGGGGGGTTTCCTCGGGGAGGATGAAAAGTACAGAAATCCAAACCAAATTAAAAACAAGGACGACGGCAGATAACAATGCAACAAACCCAGCCTCGCCCCTCCCCGTCCTTTCTCAGCCTCCCTCACCCAACCTGGTTCCCGTGGCAACGCTTGGGTCTCCAACCGGGACAAACCTCCGAAGGGCATTTGAAGATGAAAAGGCCCCTGCGACAGCTGATTCCGGCGGACACAAAGCGGGAAACTCCTTAAAAATTCATCCGGAAACATCCGCTTCCTTAAATGCCGTCAAGCAGGGGTCTCCAACCTTTGCAACTTTAAGACTTTTTTTGGGGAGGGGGGGTGTAAAAAGTTTTTAATTTTTTTATATCTCAAAAACATCTCTTTCGGTGAACAGCCCGGTTCCAGGTTTTGCACGTTTCCGTACAAACATGACCCCGGTTACATCTTCCTCTTCATCTTCACATTTGGTTTTCACATCGTATCATTACGTTCCATATTTTCTATAAATTTTCTCAGGTATTCTTATATTCTTCACATTTATTTTGTATCTTTCCTATTCCTTTCTGAACTTATTTCTTTTTTTTAATTTGAAATGGGTTTTTCCTCTCTTCGTTAACTTGAAAGACTTCTGGACTTCAACTCCCAGAATTCCTCAGCCAGCATTGGCCGAGGAAATCTGGGAGTTGAAGTCCACAAGTCTCCAAGGTGCAAAGGTTGGAGAACCCCCTCGCCCTAAAGGAAACGCTGACCTTCCAAGTGCACGATACGAATTCTCACGTTGTTTTTTCCCGCGTCCCCACCGGATCTTACCTAAAAGCAGCCAGTAACGGAGCATAGATGGAGTCTCCATCGTACACGTAGAGGTGATCCCAGCTGCATTCGGTTGCAAAGTGATTAAACCGGAGCCTCAAGACGGAATTGGGCCTAGAAAGAAGGAAATGCATTCAAAAGCAGCCTTTTCCCAAAACAAACCAAAAAAGGCACCAACACGCTTTTCATATTTGCACAGCACGTCCCTTCCTCCGAGAGTTGTGGAGGCCACTTGGAGGTTTATTTGTGCCTTCAGGATCACCCAAATGATCTTCAAGGAAAAAACGAAAGTCCAGTTGCCTTTTGGAAAAGTAGCTTTTGTTGTGGTTCGCAGCCTGTGCAGATGGTAGCGGAATCGGACAGTGGGGAAGAATGGGGACCAGTCTGGGAGTCTGGAGAGGACTCGGGTGAGGGTCCTGCATCCTATGCAGGGATGGGGCCAGGACCATCTGGGAGTCGGGTGCTGACTCCAGAGCAGCAGCGAGGCAGAGGAACAAGGGGAGTCCAGATTCCCCAGCTCAATTTCTAAAAGCGAATCGCCTCTAATATACAAACTTGATACGCACATACACGCAGTTGTTTCTCAAGCTTGGGCACTTTTAAGGCACGTGGACTTCAACTCCCAGAATTCCCCAGCTCGCCATTCTGGCTAAGGAATCCTGGGAGCTGAAGTTCACAAGGCGGCTAGAGCATTCTGGGACTTGAAGTCCACTCGTCTTAAAAGCGGGCAACCTTGAGACACTCTGCATAAAGAAGGAAGAAAATATAAAACTAACGGAACAGGAATGTTCATTATATGCAGATAAAAGTCTGGACAATTCAGTTCCAGAAAAAAAAATTAACCAGATGTGGTACTCACTTTCCTTCTATAAGCCACGTGCATTTTGTTTTGTATTTGTAATTTCCCGGCCCGTCCGTTACGTATCCTGAAGATCCGGTAAGCCTGTGAAAAGAAAACTAAGCATGTAACACTCCCTTAACCACTTACAATTATATTCTTCCACCCCAAATGCCCTAAAATAAAGGGTCAGGGTTATTAACCTCCTTCTTTTACAAACGAATGGCGCAATTATTCTTGGAATACAGGTCTGGCCGGTGCAATTCAGAAAGGAGACTGGGGAAGGGGCAGAAAGACAGGGGAAAAAAAATCAGGAAAAGGCTGAAAACGAAGAAACCAGGAGGGAGGGAGGGAGGCCAAAGGGGTTATTGCAAAACCCTGAATTAAAACCTATTATTGAATCTGTCATCTGCACCTCTATAACTGTCCGGTTTGGTTCTGCAACCCAACAGGACAGACACAGGCTCCAGAGAGGAATTAGGACTGCAGAAAAAACAATTACTACCCACTTGCCTTCAATTGAGGACCTGTATATAATGCACGAGTCCAAAAGAGGGCTGTGAAAATATCTACAGGCCCCTCACATCCCGGACATAAACTTTTTCAACTCCCACCCTCAAAACGACGCTACAGAGCCCTGCACAACAGAACAACAGGACACAAGGTGGGTTTTTTCCTGAAAGCCATCACTCTGCTAAACAAATAATTCCCTCAACACTGTCCAACTATTTACTAAGTCTGCACTACTATTACTATTAATCTTCTCATCACTCCTTATCATCCACCTCCGCCCACTTGTGAATGTATGACTGTAACTTTATCTCTTGTATCCTAGCGATTTCTATTGTTTCCTGGTATGATTTGTACCCCATGACTGTCATTAAGTGTTGCACCTGATGATTCTTGACTCTTGATGAATGCCTCTTTTCTTTTATGTCCACTGAGAGCATTTGCACCAAAGACAAATTCCTTGTGTGTCCAGTCACACTTGGACAATAAAGGATCCTCTCTCTGTGTGTGTGTAATTGTTCTCACCATTAGGAAGTTTCTCCTTAATTCCAGGTTGCTTCTGTCCTTGATGAGTTTCCATTCGTCTTTTCTTGTCCTGCCTTCAGGGGCTTTGTGGAATAGCCTTGACTCCCTCGTCTTTGGGGCAGAACCACAAATATGGGAAGCCTGCTATCGTGTCCTCCACAGACCTTCTTTTCATTAAACAAGACATACCCAATTCCAGCAACTGCTCTTTATGTGTTTTAGCCTCTAGGTCCCTAATCATCCTTGTTGCTGTTCTCTGCCCTCTTTCCAGAGTCTCAACGCCATTTTTGTATTCCTGTGACTTGAATTGGGTGCATTATTAGGTGGTTTTGTACTGTCGTCTTCTATTATATTGTATTGCATGTTATAGCAATTATCAATTCAAAAACACTATCTGTCTCTATCGATCTATATGTATATCTAT